ACACCACTGTTCAAACAATGTTCACAACGGTATGGTACCACAGTGTGTTCCAACACTACTTTATGCAGACAGAGGGGGTTGTAAGTGATCAACAAAAGTTGGGACACCTGTAGGAAATAGTAGCACTAACTTTTAAGGCCTGATCAACCTCCATTGCTGCAGAACTGCTTTAAGTTGTTAACCCATTTCTTGTTCCCTGAAAAAGGCCTTTTTGTATAATTCCGAAATGTAAAATATTTTTCAGTTTTGGTTAAGCTTACCTTTTTTTTTAAATTGACCTCAGGTAGTTGACCAATTACCTTTGTACCCTTTCAGGCTGTTCATTGGAGTTGAACTGCTACTGGAAAAATTGGGGTGTTCTAAAACTTTTGACCGGTATATATATATATATATATATATATATATATATATATATATAGATAGATAGATAGATTGATAGATTGATTGATTGATTACGGGCCAAAAGTTTGGACACACCTTCTCATTCAATGTGTTTTCTTTTTTTCATGACTATTTACACTGTAGATTCTCACTGAAGGCATCAAAACTATGAATGAACACGTGGAGTTATGTACTCAACGAAAAAAGGTGAAATAACTAAAAACATGGCAAAGGGGCCAACAAGTGCTAAACACCTCTGGGAACTCCTTCAAGACTGTTGGGAAACCATTTCAGGTGACTACCTCTTCGAGACAATGCCAAGAGTGTGCAAAGCAGTAATCAGAGCAAAGGGTGGCTTTTTTTAAGAAACTAGAATATGAAACATCTTACCTCCAGAGATCCTAGCCAATGTGAATGCAACGATACAAACGATTCCCACTGCGAACATCTTTGAGACCAATAAGCTGACGTTCAGTACAGCAACAGATCCTCAAAATGCTTGGACATAAAGTGAATGCGAAGGAGAACTGAAGAGGCTTCATGGATAAAAGGGGAAACATTTTCTCAACTCTACACAGTCCAGTTGCCTGATTTTGGAGTCTTCGAGATAACCATGACCTGGATGAATGAGAATCTAGATGGACATGAGGAGAATAAAAGGCAGTGCCCACCATAGGGTAATAACACACAAGCTAATCCGGCAAGGCTGGAGACTGAACAATACTGGAGAGGCATATGCTCCACTTCTGTCAAGCATCATTGCGGCTAACATAAATGGGCACATTGATCACTACATGACAGAGGCACAGAAAGGTATTGGTAAGAACACCAGAGGAGCAAAACACCAGCTACTGATAGACAGAACAGTCGCTCTAGACTGCAGAACCAGACAGACCAATCTGTGCACTGCCTGCGTTCAAGCTGGGGAACAATCGGCCGTCAAAGAAGGGGGGAGATGGGGGAAGAAAAAAAAGAAGAGGAAAGGAAGTAAAAGAAAATAAAATTAAAAATTCCGCTATTTATTAACATTATAAACATTAACAGGTGTGTTTCTTGCCAGCTAGCCATGAATTGAAAAGTTTTGTTGTTGTGATTGCACCCTGTACGGGATTCGAACTCACGAAACACAGCACAGCACGGTGACCGGAGTTGACCTCTCACAGTGTGACAACTGATGCCTAATTTTGGCATGGCTTCCTGGGCAGAGGGTTTCTCCAGTCTGAAAGTTTGGCATGAGGTGCGCGTTGGAAAATGCCACTTCCAATTGCTTCTTTTTGCTTTTCATTGAAAGATTTGGCTCTAAACAACAATGTAGCCTTCATACCTTTAAGGAAATGTGCAATTGTTGATATACAGACCTGATTTATGAGTGGCTATTCAAAAAAGCTGAATGAATCACTAGGGATGAAATGATGTATACTGTTTACATTAAATTTTATTATAGGTAACCATTAATCTCCCCCTTTTCTTCTATCTTTTTAAAAGACGGGTCAATCATGACTTGGGAAACAGTTCTTACACAGACCTGCACTAAAGATGTTTACACTTGGAAACATTGTGTATAATAAATGTCCTGTTTGAATTGTGTTGTTTTTATATTTTGATGCCTTCTCCAAATTTCCTCCAGGATGATGAACTTTAACCTTGACTTACCAATAAAAACCATTGCTGCGTCCGAATTGCCAAGTAGTAGTCGAAGTAGTAGTCGAAGTAGTATGTAGCATGTCTGAATTGGCCACCGGAGCGAGTAACATGCTACTTCAGATACTAGACACGCCCACATTGTAAGATGGTCGCGGTGCATCCTACGGGCATGCTACTGACCCAAAATGCACCGCAGGCTTCTTCTTCGTCCTCTTAAAAGTTGTAGAAGCGCATGTGATGCTAGCGCCACCAGCTGCTGCCTATTTAGATGCGTCGTGAACGCTGGTTGGCCACAGCAGCGCGCACCATGGCGGAGCAGCAGCAGCAGCAGGCAGGACCGCAGCAGTACAGATGTAAGTCTCATGTAACTTCACACACTGTCCTAAAAAATGTGCGGTTGTATCTCTTTGTCATGTCATGGTGTCATATTTGCCCAAGTAATCATTCTATGAGCAAATATGTGGCGACATCATGGAGGTAAAGCTCACTTATTCCATCATAAAACTGCACAGCTGCAGTAATCAGGCAGATCTCATTGAACAAACCACGTGAGTGAATGAAGACTAAAAGTAATGGAAAAGCTACTTTGTGAATTTCTAAAGCAGTGCAGGAATATAATACAGCAGCATCCATCACTTGCACAATTACCATTCAAAGAGTCTCAAACTGTCTGCACGGGCGCAGTACCTACTCTCTGCCTGCAGGGGTCGTCTTTCCCCACCGCTCGTCTCGTGTGTCCAAATTAGGCCAATGTGTTTAGTATGTAGGAGTAGGATCTAGCAGTAGTATGTAACAGTAGTATATAGTATGCGAGCGGGCAATTTGGACGCAGCAACAGCCTGGCACATGGCCTCCTCGGGTTTAAATCATTCCCCAGGACCCTCAGGTCTAACCTTTCTCCTCAGCTCCTCTACCTCTCTGAGTGAAGATGCTCCACAGCATGAATCCATGTGAACTGCGCAATGGGGGAGGGTTCAGTTTCGCGAACAGCCGCAGATAAACCAGCATATTTACTAGTATCCATGATGCCTGTATGTTACATCTGAGAAACACTAACCCAAACCCTGGATTTTATTTGAGATTGCTGTGAAGTAAACTCTCACAAAAGAGGTTCAAATGTTCAGGTGTCAGTGTGAAAAGGTGGCTCTGCTCTGAGTCCCATACCTGTCAGGCCTGCTTCACTGTGTACCTCTAACAGTTGGATCTAAAGCTGCTGCATGCACCTTTACAGTACTCTGCATACTGTTTTAATAAAACTGTTCAATTTAGAGTAATCACTTTACTTTAGTTGTAAGATCACAAAAAGTACAGTGGTCTGTGGTATGGAAAAACATGAAGTAAATTTCACATTTCTATACTCTGGGTCTCAGAGTGTGCAGGTACGCAGGGTCACACTTGTTCAGAGAGCTGTCTTCCACTAGCAGACCCAGCACCAGCAGTCTTCAGTTCCGATGGAGTAATCCATTTGATCTCTGACATCAAAAACTCTTGAGCTATACCTCAGATAACCTATGTCACCCAGAACACCTCAAGAAGTCTTAGACTGGGAGAAGCTTTAGGCACCAAAGTTTAAAATCCAGTCTGCTCATGCCTCAGAAGAAGGAAAATATAAAGTTATTGTGCTGACAAGCAAGAATTATAGTTTTTAATCGTTAAAAGTCAACTAAATATGCACGTATTTTGTAACATGCATATGTATGTTGCTGTGTTTGAAGGATGTTTGTTTCATATTACAGTTTAGCACTGAATCAACACTAATATCTCTTTGTCTCTCGATGAATCTTAATTTTCTGATTTTCAGGAATGAAGTGTTGGAGTCCAGTCTGTCAGAGCTTGGCTACAAACAACCCAAAGCCTGAAAGACAGGGACCACCATTGCTGGGTGAAACAGTTGTAGTTAAAAAGTTAATCTTTGTGTGTGTGTGTTTATTGAAACGTCAGTACAGAGCAGATACTGTGTGAGTCTGTGATAAACTCAAAGATATTATCAGGGAATAAAATAACCTGCTGTGTGTTTTCTGTCCTTTAGGATGGAGTGATTCTGGGAGCAGACACCAGAGCCACAGACAACATGGTGGTGGCTGACAAAAACTGCATGAAGATTCACTACATCACTCCAAACATCTAGTCAACCAGACCAAGTCCTCTCTCAGTTTTAAGAGTATCTGTCACTGTGGTTATCTGCAGTTGGATAATTATAACACTTACTGGATTAAAGAAAGACAGGTGTTATCTTTAAGTCTTTTTTCATGTCAGACAGACAGGGGGAGAGTCCGTGAAACAGAGAAAGGTCTGAACCACACTGGGATCTCTCTGGACCTGTCAGTCTGATAGATTAAACATTGTAATATCAGAGTTTACACAACACAGGCCTCTGGAACCTGGTGCTCTAACACCTGAGCTGAACCAATGTCCTGAGTTCTAGATTAATGGGTGCAAGGATGCTTATCCCAGCAGTATTCCTCATTTCCTGTTTTTAAATCCCTTTTAAAAACTCATTTTTACTCCTTGGCTTTTAATACATTGTAGTGTTATTTGTTTGTTATCATCTTAGCACTTGCCGTGAGTCTGCTTATTTATTTATTTTTTGCAGTAATGTATTTTTGCTCGCTTTATCTTGTTCTTTCATTGTTTTATTTGTTTTTATGTCTCAATGTACATCACTTTGGCTACCCCAGTGGTTCTTTTAAATGTGCTATAGAAATAAAGTTGATTGATTGATTCAGAAGCTGTAGTTCACGTGACTTTTTAATCTCAGTTGAATTGATGTGCAGGTATTTCCCCTGACAGGTTTTTAAATTTTCCTCCAGCACTGATATGCCAAAAAGTCTCTTTGTTGATACTTGGAGTAGGTGCAGTTTCAGAACACCAACACTGACGTATCACTATAACTACCTCAGAGCAGCAGCATAAAAATTTGTCCTTTATTTAGTTCACATGGATTTCTCTCTCTCTCTTTCTCTGATTGTGTGTGTATAGCTGCTGTGGAGCAGGCGTGGCTGCAGATGCAGAGATCACCACTCAGATCATGTCCTCCAATGTTGAACTGCACATGCTCAACACCGGAAGACCTCCGCTGGTCGCCATGGTTACCAGGAAGCTGAAACAGATGCTGTTCAGGTAAAAATAAATAACCTGCAGGCCTTCACTATGGTCTTCTTTATGATCACACTGTTACCTGCAGACTCAAACAAACAAACTCTGATCTGGATAGGCAGGAATTTTTCTGTCAGATGTTTACTCTCTCTATTACTGCCATCAGATCATTCCATCACATGAAGTCATTTATCACACAGACCCACTGAAAGTTTCTGTACTAGAAGCTAAACTTAACATGTATTTAACTTAATCCTGATTTTAAACTTAACCTTAGAGTTTTTAAGTCCTCCTCTGTCAGCCAATAAAAACAGGCTATTCTTGTGTATCCAGGTATCAGGGTCACATCGGCTCATCTCCAATTGTTGGAGGTGTGGATGTGACTAGAACTCACTTGTACAGCGTTTATCCTCACGGCTCCTATGACAAGCTGCCCTTCCTCACCATGGGAACAAAATTAACTTTATCATGATTTTTATCACTGTTTCAAACACTTCTGTCTTTACTGTCTCTACACTGAGAGCAGGGTTATAGGGTTATGCTACTTAGAATTTAGTTCTGTAGACTGATTAATCCATCAGCAGATAAACTGGCCCATTAATGGCACTCAGGTGACACAGTCAAACACTCTGAGCCTCAGGTCACAACTGCTGGAAATCAGCTGAGCCAAAGCTCTGCCTGGATCACCTGTAAGGGTCAGTGTGGAGACCTTTAGTTGAAGCAGACATTTGACTGTTTTATATCAAAAGCCATGGTATTGCAGGATAGTGCAGGTGGGAAAGAAACATCAGAGCACAGCTTCTGTTTATTTAAAAACTGTATTCAAGTCTTCTTTTGGTTGGTTCTTTGTTTTGGTTGTCATACACAGGCAAGTTCAGGTCTGAACACTAAATACTTTCACACACCACAGAACTGAGGCACATAAACTTCAGGATTCATCAGGACAGACCTGATGTCTGCATGCTGGACATGACTGTACAAAGAAATCTGATGTTTTATGATACTGTGCCTCAAACACCCCCCCCCCCCCGTTTCTTCCTCCTCCTCTGCCTCTTCCTCTCTCAGCTGGAGGAGGCGAAGCTGCTGGTTCGAGACGCCATCACTGCAGGTATTTTCTGTGACTTGGGCTCAGGCAGAAACGTGGACCTGTGTGTGGTCACTGAGGGTGGAGTGCAGTACCTGAGAAGCTACGACTAACCCACCACCAAGGGGAAAAGGTTAGACCTTACACGGAGTCAGTCCACTCTTCTTAAAAATCTGTGAACAAATCACAGCAGACAAACAAAAAAATTGTAAGAAACGTGTTCTGTGGTCGCAGCTTTGACAGATTACACCATTTATATTTTATATAAAACACTTATTTATCCTCCTCTGTGTGAGAGAGCTTATTCCATTAAAACCTTCAAATCTATGGGATCCGGCCCTCTCTTTTTATGAGCAGTCACTGGTTTTAAGTAGATTTCACCTAAAGTCTTTTTATCTTTATGGTCTTTTACTTGCGCCTGAACGATATTACTTTTTCAGTGGCCACTGCTGATACCAATAACAAAACGCCTGTCTAAATAACAGATGTTACTACACTGCTGTTTTTTTCTGCATTTGATGAAATACAACAATTTAACAACACTATCAAATGAGAAAAAACAAACCTGAGTATTTATACTATGATATAAATTTTGAGGACGAAATATTTGGCTCAGTTAAATTTTGCCATGAGGGAAATTGGAGTTTCCGACCAGCTAGCCAAAATTATTGAATAGAATAGAATAGAATGCTCTTTATTGTCATTATACAAACATTGTACAACGAGACTGGAGAGGGTCTCCCATTCAGTGCAAGTAAAAGGTAAAAGTAAAGGTTTAAAATATAAAATATAAATATATATACAAATAAGATGCAATAGAGTGTTGACACATTGTTGTTAAATAGATTGCATAGGTGCAATGGATTCCACACAGTGGACAGTAGCAGCAATGGTAAAAAACTTATTGCACAGTAGGTATGGCTATATATACAGTATATGTAAAGATAAATACAGTAGTGTTGGCATGTTAATACTGAATATTAAATAGATTGCACAGAGTGTGATGGATTCCACACAGTGGAGCAGTAGCAGCAGTGGTAAAAAAAAACTTATTGCACAGTAGGTATGGATATATATAAAAATAATACAACAGTGTTACGTGCTGGAGTTCAGGGCGGTGATGGCTATGGGGGGAAAGCTATTTCTCAGTCATTTCAAGCCTGGTAACACACTAAGGCAGAAGCTAGTCCATCCCAAGGACAAAACACCGAGACATAAACAGAGTAATGTGGTGTATGCTGTCCAGTGCAGCAAGGAATGCTTGGATCTGTACATTGGGGAAACTAAACAACCGCTTCACAAGCGCATGGCTCAACACAGGAGAGCCACTTCCTCAGGTCAGGACTCAGCTGTCCACTTTCACTTAAAGGACACGGGTCACTCTTTCGAGGACAGCAAGGTACAGGTGTTGGCTCGAGAAGACAGATGGGCTGTGTCCAAAATGGCATACTGCCTACTATCTACTTACCTACTCAAGCAGTAGCTACTGCCTACTGACTACTCAAAGATGATTTGAGTATGCCGCGGCTGCCCGAGCGTTTATACACATACATACTAAATACCCCAGAATGCATTTCGTGCCGGCCGGAAGCAGCGGCGGGAAAATTTAAATAGTCCTACCGCACGCTTCAAAAACGACTGCATACCGGACAGACTGTATAAATTCAATCAGAGAAAGTAAGTGTTTACATCACGATTATGAGCCCAGTTGTTTGAAAAGCGGCTGTTTGTAAATTTGTCTCTGCGTTTTCGGAGACCGAAACGTCTGCTTGGTGGGTGTTTGCGTCTACATGCCGTAAATACTGGGCAGCAGCAGCTCCCCCTTCACGTTTCCAAATTATTGCGAAGTGTTTTCATAATCAACAGCGACGCGACTCAAACTAAGCGGCAGTGGATTCATAAAAATTACACAAACATCTGTGTATCCATGGTGATAACGCTATACACCACCTGCTGGGCATATGATGAGCAGCATAGGGCTGCAAAAATGACCAACACGCAACATAATTATGACCTTGTTCGGTTATTCCTTGGCAAATACATAATTTCCCAACTACATTCTTCTCATGTACAATGATATTTTCAGAAACCATCAGGTCGTTCTGCCTGGTGTAGGCTGACAACCATGGAGCGCCGCCATGCAAGGAAACGAAGGCGTCTTTTCTTCAGGGCAGCTATGTACTTCCTGATGGATTTTCAACCACAAGTAAGAATTATTTAAGCTTACAGATACATTATCAACTGGAAACTCCCCCGTTTGTATATTCTGAACCATGTGCTCTCTACCAATAATAATTCTTATTAATCAGAGGTCTGTGCTTAATATGAGTGACCACTTTGATGATGCATTTAGAGATGAGAAGATGCTCAAACTTGTTGTAATAAATACATCTTTAATAGACACTTAAATAAATAAAGTCAATTCATACAAATAGTTAAAAACATTACATACAATCTTAATTTAAAATAAAAATAAATCTGGTAAAAAGATGAAAAAAATATTATTGCAATCACATGCCACCGATGTTTTTCAGCTTCGGGAAAGAGGGCCATATTGCCAAATTAACCATCATGTCCCTCTGGTACGCCTGTACTTTGAGGGGGGTGACCTGCGTAAGGACTTCAGGCTGACCAGGCCCTTCCTGGAGCACCTCATCCACCTTCTCCAAGGGGACCATTATCATGGATGGGGGAAGGCACTTGAGGTGCTTGTTTTTCTTTACTGGCTGGCCTGTGGCACATCATATCGGGTCGTGTCAGAGGCCTTCGACATCCCTCGTTCAACGTGCCACGATATGGTCCACCGGGTCAGCAGCGACATCCAGCAAGTTTTCCAGAGATTCATCTGTTTGCTCAACAGGGCTGAGTTGGAGGAAATTGGGGCTGGGTTCCAGCAATTGGCTGGTCACCCAGCTTTCTGCAAAGTGGCAGGAAGTATCGACGGATGTCATGTCCGCATTGTGCCCCCTGGACAGTTTGGAGCAGACTTTTTTAAGAGAAAACTGTTCCACTCTGTCCAGTTTCAGGCCATTGTGGACCACAAAGGATGCTTCCTAGACGTGTACGTCGGTTTCCCTGGCTCTGTGCATGATTTGCGGGTCCACAGGTGCAGCCCTGTGTATGTGCACCAGCTGTACCCTCCTCCAGGATGGTGCCTATTATGGGATGGGGGTTATCCCTGCATTTCACAACCACTCACCCTTATCACCCCATTCAGGGAGCCTTTGAGGAACCCCACCGAGGAGAGGTTCAATGCCAGGCATTCTCGGGCCAGGAGTGTGGTGGAGAGGGCATTTGGAGTCCTGAAAACCAGGTGGCGCTCCATACTTCTCAAGGCCCTGGAGGTGAAGGTTGACTTCGTTTCTGAGGTCATTGTGGACTGCCTTTTCCTCCACAACCTCTGCCTCGGGCACGGGGACATTTTGGAGCCAGAGGACGGCGAAGAGGTTGATGGGGATGATAACTGTCTGGCGGCAGCTCATGACCTGGCCCAACAGAGTGGTGATGCCTTCAGGGATCGGATGGCAGCAGCAATGTCAGTTCCAGAGGAGCAGATCCCTGCACTGAGGGAGCATGATTATTTATGAGCATTATAATAATAGTCATTGTGAATAGTTAAGTTATTGTTAGTTATATTGTAGTTGTAAATAGTTAGTGTTATAGTATATAGTTAGTATAAGGATGGTTTACAGTGCAATCTTTGAAGACTATAAGTCTTCATGATTCTGTAAAGGTTTTTGTTACTTCCTATTATTGGTTCTTTATGAGGATTTATTCTTGATTTTTTGAAAAGGAGGATATGTTAGTTTTATGATTTGTTCTGTGATTTCATGAAATTAGTATCTGATTTTGTATTTTTTGTATACGTAAAAATGTTGGGTAGCCTAATATGTGCATAAGCTTTTGCTTCGGCCTGTGCCTTTTCAGTCACTTTCTTTATGATATTGTTTGTAAATGTAAATATTAAGTTGTATTGTGTCTGTGACTGAATAAAATCTTCACTCACTCTTCTTTTTCTATTATACTTATTTTATTGTAGTTATCATACTATTTATAGTTATACTAATATTATACTAATTATACTATTACATTTATACTTTGTTAGTATTATACTTATGGTACTAATGGTTAGTATTATACTTACCTATCTATAGTAAGAAAGTGGTCTCTTGCATGTAAAAAGATGGATGTGGAGCTATTTTTGCACAAAAGAAGCATGTTTACACTAATCATAGGTATGTGGGTGATTACATAACTGCTTTCAAATAAATACTATGCCATTCCTGCCTCTATTCCTTTATGTACCGTGCAAATATGTTAAGATTAGTCACGGAACAAGAACAATCTTTTAATTTTATAACTACAACAAAACCATGAAGCAACAAACTTAAAACTTTACAAAGAATAGGTGACCAAGATAATACAATAATTTGTGAACTTAAAACTTGGTCTGTAAAATAAACATAAATATAAAATGAATACATCATTTAGAATTAAAAAGTCTTTCAATTAACTCCATCCACCTCTCTTCTCTCACTCTACTCTCCCTCTCTCTTTCCTCTCTCTCTCTCCTTTCTTCCATTGCTCTTCTGTCCATCCACTCTCTCCACTCACGCTCTCTTCTATCTGTATTCTTTCTTTCCTCTTCTCTCCACTCTCTCTCTCTCCTTACCCATCTTTCTTCCATCTCTCTCTTTTCCTGCCTCTTCCTCTCCCCTGCCCGACGTTCCCGCTCCTCTGCCTGCCGAATCCTTTCATCCTCCCTCTCCTTAAACTCTTTTACCCACTCCTCAAACCACTCTCTGCTCCGTGAGTCGCTTGTTCTCCTCACTCTCACAGGAGGAGACTCAGAAGGGGGATTTGGAGGAGAGGCCACTGCTGCTGGTGTAATGGATGAGGTGATGAGGTTAGGCGGTGTTATGGCTGGACGGTCCCTCATCACCTCATCCATGATATTAAACCATTTCCAGTTTGCAGCAGTGGCCTCTCCTCCCTCTATGCTGACCCCCGTTAGTGGTGCCTTGAGAACCTGGCAAATGACACACACACAAAGATAATCTGATAACATAGGTCCCTCTCACACTGACTGTTTCAACTCTGACATAGTCAGATTATATAGTAAAATTTAAAAACATAAGCATTCACTGTATTGATGCGAAACATAAATACTGAAGTGTTTGTCACACCTCCACCTACCTTATACTTCTGCTTTAGGTTTTCCCTTTTTTTTTTTGGGGAAAACTTGGGTCCACTTGGCCCTCCAGCCCATGCTCCTTGAAGAAAGCACTAAACAAGGATGACAAAAAAGGAGCAATCAAAAGGGCATATGAACGTGGCAAGTGCCTACAAGCCACTCATATTATTCATATTATTTCTGCATTAGGCAGTAGCTTTTTCCCCATCTTGTTATAAACCCATAGCAACTCTCGTATTATGTTCTGTCGAGTGGTGGGGAGCGTTTGCGGCTCGTAGAATGCTGCTCTGATAACAATAAATCTAAAGGCCGACCTGGCCAACGTTTGTGTTCCGGTCGGCTCCAGTTGAAGCGTGTATTTACAATAAATAAATCCACGGCGCAACGGCGCATGAACAAAAATTTCTTACTCAAAACCCTTTAGGGCGGCGTTCCTTCTTCCCCTGAAAAGGGCTTCGTTCTGTCCCCGCCACCGGATCAGCCACTCAGTATCCTCATCTGTCCCTGAAGGAAAACATGGCAGTATTTATAATGCGACATCACGGGTCCACATTATCGTTTAGTTGCGGCTACGGCATAAGCTAACGTGCCAACCAAATGGCAGGCTGACTGGTCGTCGAGCAGTGCATAAACTCAAACGTCAATACAACTATTATCTGCCCGGTTAAGTGCCACAATATAAAATTAAATAACTTACATTTATGAGCGCTTTTTTGCTCGTACTTGACGCCGCTGCCAGCTGTCTCCATGTTGACTTTCGTCTTTTCGCGGCAGAAGTCCGCAATGCATTGTGGGGCAGAAGCAGTACGTGAAGCAAGCTCCGTTGCATACTCAGAAATCGAAGCCGATTGAGTATACATCCGGGCATTTCTCGCATACACAAAATTTGCATACTGTACAGTGTGAACGCACTGCCTACTCAATTCAGAGGCGGGGTTAGTACGAGTAGTAGAAGTAGTAAGCCATTTCGGACACAGCCATGGTTTGAAAGAGGAGTTAAAGAAGCCATCTTTACCAGGCTGGAGAAACCTTCTCTGAACAGAGGGGGTGGACTCAGGCACAATCTCTCTGGCACTTACAATGCAGTTCTCAGCTCTCTCCCCAGGAAGCTCCACAAACATTCACACCTGGAACCACATGACCCAGGCGGCATGAGTCATTTGGTCACATGACAGGGGTCATTAACGACCCTTTTCAGGTTAACGACTTAGGGGGGGACACACCCAGAGATGGGTTTCTACAACCCATTCTTCTCCAACCCCTCCCAGTCGTTGTCTGTCCCCTTCTCCAGTAAGACAAACATCTGCTCCTCACACTAGCAATTTTAAAACTGAAGAAGCTTCTTGGATAAGAGGCGAAACGTAATCTCAACTCTACACAGTCCAGTTGCCTGTTTTTAAGTCTTCAAGATATTTCTCAGTCTATTCGTTCTTGCTTTGAGACATCTGTAGTGCCTGCCAGAGGGCAACAGCTCAAACAGCTGAGAACCAGGATGTGAAGTGTCTGCAGTGATGTTACGGGCTCTGCTGAGACACCGGGAGGTGTAGATGTCCATCATGGACGGGAGAGGACAGCCAACAATCCTCTGTGCTGCTCTGACTGTTCTCTGAAGCCTCATTCTGTCAGCCTCAGTGCAGCTCCCGTACCAGGTGGAGATGCAGTACGTCAGCAGGCTCTCGATGGCTGAACGGTAGAAGGCCAGCAGCAGCTTACTGTCCAAGTTGTTCCTCATGAGGACTCTCAGGTGGTGTAGATGCTGCTGAGCCTTCTTGATGACAGCCGTGATGTTGTGTGTCCAGGAGAGGTCATCGGAGATCTGGACTCCCAGGAACCTGAATGTGTGGACTCTCTCCACATACTCGCCATTGATGGAGAGGGGGGGCGGCTCAGATCTGTTCCTCCTGAAATCCACAATGATCTCCTTTGTTTTGGCAGTGTTCAGTGTCAGGTTGTTGTCTGAGCACCAGGTCGAGAGTCTCTGCACCTCCTCTCTGTAAGCTGACTCGTCTCCTCTCGAAACCAGTCCGACCACGTTGGTGTCATCGGCGAATTTGAAGTGGAGGTTGTTTCCGTGGCTTGGGCTGCAGTCGGAGGTGTTGAGGCAGTACAGGAGGGGGCTAAGCACGCAGCCCTGGGGTGACCTGATGCTCAGTGTGCGGGTGGGGGAGAGTTGGGGGCCAAGTCTCACCGTCTGGGGTCTGTTGGTCAGAATGTCCTTAATCCAGAGGCAGGTGGGAGGGGGAAGGCCCAGGGTGACCAGTTTGGTGATGAAGATGTCCGGAATGATGGTATTGCGGCTCAAATCTAAAATGTTCAAAAAAGGCAGCGAGGGGCTAAAACATGGGGAAGGGCTTCTGTGTGACGCACTTTGTAAAATCACTTTAAATCCAGGTCCACTCCGTAGTATTTCATTTGATCACCATTTATTTTCAGCAGCACACAGGTGGTACAACAGTTCCCAGCAGCATATTTAACTATTGCATCTGTCCATGAATAAAGTGCTCTGTGCGTTGATCTAAAGTGCTGATGTTAAATACGTCAGCGGCGGCGGTGGTAGCGGTCAACAGAAAGTGTGCTCCCCAGCTCACCCCCTCTCCATCTGATTTCCACACTCTAGCTCCTGGTGAATCAGCTGATTACTTCAACAGGTGGCACCGCCCCAATTACAAACCACACCCACCACCAACTAGCAATCAGTGCCCCAATAGTGTGTGTTAATCATTCAATAATAAAAAATAAACATTTCTCTATTCTGGCTCCTACAGATGGTGTTGAATGCCGAACTATAATCCACAAAGAGCATCCTGGCATAGCTCTGCTGTTGTTCCAGGTGTTTCAGCACAGCGTGCAGAGCTATGGCGATGGCGTCCTCTGTCGATCTGTTAGCCCGGTAAGCAAACTGGTGGGGGTCTAGTGTCGGGGGGAGACAGTCCTTGATGTGCATGAGAACCAGCCTCTCAAAGCACTTCATGATTATAGGTGTGAGGGCAACAGGGCGGTAGTCATTTGGGCTGGTTGTAGGTGACTTCTTTGGCATTGGGATTATCGTGGCAGTCTTCAGGCTGGTGGGAATGACTGCTCGGGCCAGGGAGAGGTTGAAAATCTCGCAGAAAACATGTGACAGCTGGTGTGCACATGCTCTGAGCACCTTGCCTGGCACTTTGTCTGGGCCAGCAGCCTTCCTGGGGTTTACTGCCAGGAGCACGCGCCTAGCATCATGCTCCTCTATGGTAAACTCTGGGGTGGTGAGCGCTGGGGTGGTGGATCCTGACGAGGGTGACGGCTGGGCTGGAGCAGAGGAGTGGCGCTGCGTTGAGTCAAAGCAGGCAAAGAAACAGTTGAGTTCCTCTGCTAGTGCCTCACTCAGGTCTCCTGGTGAAGCATCACAGCCTCTGTAGTTGGTGATGCTTTGAAGACCCTGCCACATCTCCCGTGGTCTGTTGCTGGTGAGGTGGGACTCTATCTTCTTGTTGTAGTCCTCTTTGGCATTTTTAACACCTCTCATCAGGTCAGCTCGAGCCGTGCTGTAGAGAGCCCTGTCACCTGACCTGAAGGCAGCGTCGCAGGCCTTGAGGAGGGAATGGACCTGGCCGGTCATCCATAGTTTAATGTTGGGATAAATCTGGATGCGTTTATCCACAGTCACAGTATCCACGCAGAACTTGATGTAGTCCAAAACTGTCTCTGTGCAGGTCTCCAGGTCCTGGTGTTCAAATAGACCCCAGTCTGTGTGGTGGAAGAAGTCCTGTAGGTCGAGAACGGAAAACATGTATTGATTCATAGAAAACATGTAACATAGAAAACATGTATTGATATATAGATATTTGTTGATATGTATTTGGGTTTGAATAAAGAAATTCATTCATAAATCCATTATTTCATACACATTAAAACCCATCCTGTAATAGATGGTAATCTTCACCAGAAAATGGATTTTTAATTAATCATTGGAGAGACAAACAGGTTGGATTATGCTTTAGATTGCAGAACTTAACTGAAAATTATGTCAGAATCAACATTAAACTGCATTATTCTGTAAGTTATGATAAAACTTATACTAAACAATATTCAGTAACTGTGTAAGATTTGATTTGATGTAATTTAGGATGAAAAATAATATCATTTACAAAAAATTATGGTGATATCTGTCTTGTAAGGTTTGATGCTGATGATGGTGTTTTAATTTAACACCTAAATATTAACTTTACGTGACCTTGCCGCCGCTATTGTGACATGTATCAGAAATGGACAAGAAGCTGAATACAGAGATCGAATAAGAGCCTTCAGTGACTGGAGTCACAAAAACTGCCTCCTCCTCAACACCTCAAAGACAAAAGAGATGGTCATAGACTTCCGTAGATCCAAACCCCCTCTTCAGTCAGTAAACACCAGTGGAGTGGACATCGAAGTGGTGACATCATATAAATACCTAGGTGTACATCTGGATAATAAGTTGGATTGGTCTAAGAATATAGACTACATCTACAGAAAGGGGCAGAGCTGCCTCTTTTGCCTGGGTAGACTCCGATCAATAGACATCTGTAGTAAGACGCTGCAGAAGTTTTATCAGTCTGTGGTGGCAAGTGTGCTGTTCTACGCCGCAGTCTGCTGGGGAGGAAGCATCATACACAAAGATGCAAGACGTCTTAACAAACTGGTGAAAAAGGCTGGCTCTGTGGTAGGACTCAAGCTGGACTCAGTGGAGGATGTGGTGGAGAGATCTAAACTGAGGAGGGTGGAGACTATTCTTAAGAACATGGATCACCCACTTCACAACACCTTGATGGACCAAAGGGCAAATGGTGGTGGACGGCTCCTCTCTCTTCGCTGCAGGACAGAAAGATTTAGAAGATCTTTTGTACCAACAGCCACCAGGCTATATTACTCTTATGTAAATAATAGATAACTTTTATAGACATATCACATGAGACAACAGACAATTGAATTTCCCTTCGGGGATCAATAAAGTTCTTCTTCTTCTTCTTCTTCTTCTTCTTCTTCTTCTTCTTCTTCTGTAAGTGCATTAATTGGTCCGATGAGCTTTAGTGTAAGTGCCCTTTTTCTGTTTTCTAATACTGTCCTGAGTGTGTGTGTGTGTGTGTGTGTGTGTGTGTGTGTGTGTGTGTGTGTGTGTGTGTGTTTCACAGAGAAGGACAGTACAGGTATAAACGTGGCACCACAGCTGTCCTGACTGAAACTGTGACCCTGCTGAGTCTGGACGTGGTCGATGAAACTGTTCACATCACGGACGCTGAGTGAAAATAAAAAATAATACAGAATAGTAAAAGATAGCATTAGACAGTCACATTCTAATAAAATACAGTCAAATAAACCTGTAAAATGCTCATTTTTTGGTTTCTCTGTTAGTTTGTAATAAAACCTTTACTTTCTCAAATGATCTGACCCTCTAAAATCTTACTGCAGATTCTGTTTTTCTCCTCTAGGGTTTTTTGCTCTGGTATGAAAAGGCATTTTCGATAAAAAAAAATGTTTTAAATCATTAAGTTTCAGGTGGATGTGTTACAGTTTGTCAGGTTTTCATTTTGAAGGAGCTTTTGTCGAGGAGACTCTCGTTCACTGCATCAAGCAGAGATGACAAAAAATAAAACTAGTGTTTGAATGTTGTGTGACTGAAATGCTTTTCAACCATCTTGGTCATATAACTGTATACAAATATATTCAATGTAATGTATGCACACATCTGAAAACAGTGAAAGGTGTATTCAAAAACAAAACAAAATTTGTCAGGTATGGATTCAGTTTGACGGATTTCTTTCCATCATTACGTATTAAATCAACATCTTAATTTACATATCAATTTTAAATCAAATAGAGCCTTTTCTCATAAATCTTCACTTCATAGACGTACATAGACGCCTCAAAACCTTACGCTGCCTATTGGAGCTCACGTATCAGCGCGGCCACCATCTTGGATGGGTCCCCCATGCCCCTCCAGTGCATTAAGGTAGGTAGGAATGCCCAACCATATTAATGGTAACTCTCTGAATCTCTGCCCGATTTTCACACTGTTTGGTTTGTTACAACTGCAGGGATGTAGCCATAATACAGGACAATGTCACACATTAAAAATAAACCAAATTATTTTTCAATCCTATTTGGGAAATGTCATTCTATGTGATCTGGTTTCAATACTGCGTCGGGTTTTTCAACCATAGAGAGCAAAAATACGGGCATAGTTGCTCGTTCTCCATTAACCCCGTTTGGCTAACCCCTTGAGTGGTAAGACCCATCCAACATGGTGGCGACGCCCTACTCTTTTGCCAACATTCCCGCCCCCCTCATTTGTCGTAAATACTCTCATCGAGCGCTCCTAAAGAGCTACCCCCACCCACGTCCTCCTTTGTCAAGACCGTTAGACGCGTTAATTGAATTTCAGTCGGAGGAAGTTGTTCGCGGTGTGTCCAGATAGATATATGTTAAAGTATTTTACTGAGCAACACTAAAAGGAATATTGTCCACCTCCACAGGTATGTTATGAGAGCTCTTTACGTAGTTTTCAAACTGAACAAAGGGCCGGAGTTTATGCCCCTGTGAAGTCTGGATGTTTAGATGAGTTACTGCAGTCTAATGACAGTGAACAGTCTGCTCAGGTTATCTGTGAACACCTGGGGGAAGGTTTGAAGTGTTTAGTTGGGAGTTAAATAGTTTAATATTATTCCATGCACATTACAATGTTAACATGCCTGATTTATGTCAGACAGTATTTAATTATGTTATTCTATAAATCACAACACTGTCTATTTTGAACTCCAGCCAGTATATGTTGGGTTTTTTATTTTTATGTTGGAAAAAATGTGTTATAATTTAGAAAAGATGATCGAAAAATTGTCATCATGAGGGTCAGTACTGATTATTTCAGTGCCAGCAATTGGCCCAAAATATATCAGCTGACTGATTAATCAGTCTGTTGCAACTTGAAAGTCTACAGATGATAGAATAAATGAATCATGATTCACACAGTGAAAGTAATGTGGATTTGAAAAACTGGTCCCAGTGTAGTTTTGACAGGAAAAGAAAATGGTAAAATTCCCCCCTTTTTTTATTTAATGTGTTCACAGATCTGAGACTGTGTTTCAAGAGTCTTTGGTCTCTCTGGGATCATTTAGCTCGGGTCTAAACAGTCCAAATATCAGGGCTTTGGAGCAGGACCTTGTTTCCAAAGCCCTTCTTATAAAACTTGATAAGTCAAAAGCTAGGAATAATAATAAAAATAACTTAATTTATATAGCACTTTTAAAAACAGAAGTTTACAAAGTGCTTTACAAACAGTTGCAAAGCACAGAACATCAGCACATGAAAGTAAAAACAAATAAAAACAAGCTCAGTTAAAAACAAGGCCTCTGAATTGAAGGCCAGTTTCATCTTTCATAAGAAACCCAGACAATACAAGAACCCTACACCATAAAATGAGACTATGAGGACCAAAATAATAACATAAAATAGGCAGAAAGCAGGAAACAGGATAGTAAGTATAAAAGAGGATATTGATAATGATAATAAAATCATAATAAAATAATAATTTTGGTAATATTAATGATAAAATGGAATAACAAAAATGAGCAGGTAAAAACAATAAAATCAATAAAGGACCTAAAAGGTAAAATTAGAAACGATTATAAGTAAAACAAAAGCTAAAAGGATAGTAAGTCAAAATAAGACAGAGGTAAAAGAGATAAAAGAAAAGACGGCATCACATAAAAGCAAGTCTGTAAAAGTGAGTTTTAAAATTTGAGCCTCGACTTTGGAACAACCAGGAGGCCTTCACCAGAGGATCTGAGGCTGCAAGTTGGCTCATAAGGTATTAAAAGCTCTGAAATGTAGCTCGGAGCGAGTCCTTTAACCGCTTTAAAAATAATCAATAAAATCTTAAAATCAATTCGAAAACTGACAGGAAGCCAGTGAAGGGAATCAGATGCAAATCTCAGTGTTGTTTCATTTAACCCCTGCTCTCTGAAGTAAACCTGACCTTTGACCTCTGTGGAGGAGGTATCTGTCCATCATCTGCTGTTCATCATCGTGTGCACACTGTGGGGGAAAATAACAGATATGGTTGGATGTTTTGGAGATTACTATGAGGCAAGAAAACAGGATATGGTGGGAGAGGTCAGGTTGGGATAAACTTTATCAGGTCATGGTGAACTGTGTTGCAATAACAGGAATTTGGCTTCAGAGATAGTGGCAAGGGAGAAGGCACGTAGGGAGCTCGCCCAGGGGAAAGTGATACACACGCGAAGGTAGCTTCGCACGCACATTTGGCAAAAGTTGAGATCAGTGACGTCAATGGAGTACTATAAGAGATCTGTGGTTTTTCTGTTCTGGGGTCTGTCTGTTCGATTGTTCATGAGCTGTGTTTGATGCTGTGACCAGAATAAAATCCCGCGAGAGGCTGCCAGCTTGATTCTGTCTTCGTGTAGTTCATTCGTGCATTTTTGCACCGAGGTCATCTTCTAAATAATTGGCGAGCCACAGCCAAGATTTTGCCGAGGCCTGGGGCGGTGGTCTCCCCGCGCGAGTGAAATCCACGTGCCGGCACACAAAAGGTAGGAGAAGTTTATTTCTCTATTAGATGTGTGATTTCACTGTGTGGTGAGGCCATCGTGTGTTTGGGCCCTCGCAAAAGAAAGAGCCTAGAATCAAAGGAAGCAGAGTCAGGTGGAGTCTCTCACGTGTTATTCATGTATACATGAAGGCTGCTCCAAAGTGTGTGGAAAATTGTGAGACAGACAAATTAACTATTGGCGTCAAAGCAGCTGGGAATCTTGGCCAAGTGTCTGTTGACTGTGTCTTATGGGGATAGTAGGAGTAAAGCGAACAGGCCCCGAGATTAGGGCTTAGGGAGGCAGAGTGGATTCGCTCCAGACCCCGAGATAGAGTCTTATGGGGGTAGTTAAGGCGTAAATGCGAAAAGGTCTCGAGCTTAATGCTTAGGGGGGCAGAGAAGTATCGCTAACAGATCCCGAGAACAGTGATCAGCAGAGCAGATCTGTTGTTGTGGGTGAACAAGGTGCCGGGACGTCCAGTTCTAGGGGCATAGAGTTCAGGGGCGCGCGATTTTAGAAGCCGGCAGCCAAGCCCTGGTAGATGTGTAAAAAAGATTAACCCGATGAGGTTGGACAGACCTCAGAGATACTGCTCTGCGGAGCCCGGGGAGGTCTGAAAAGGCGAGGAACCTGGACAGACCACCCCATGTTAAATTCTGTAATCTGGGGCTGACCTTTTACTGAGCTCGAAAGGCAGAAACCCTGCAGGTTGCAGACTTATCTAATATAAATAACGTGGAGAAATCCACTAGGAATTATGGAACAGATTTAGATATGGTTGACTGGACTGTACACGAAAGTTCAATCACACTTGCTGGGAAATCCCACTAGAAGTCAGGTCTGTCGCTAATTATGGGCACATTTTAACGTATATCCACAAAAACTTATAGATGAAACGAACGCATTTCTCATAATAAGTAACGGGAAATAAAGAAAAACAAACAAAAAACTGCAATCTGAGGATAAAGGTTAGTGATACGGAACATTGGACATTGGAGGTATTGAAAATTTATAAGGTAGGAGTTGTTTGATCCACAATTTCCTTCCAAATTGACACCACGAAAAGCACGGATGATCAACGTGTTATCCTTATGAGTCAGCCAACTAAATAGAATACCTTCAAAAATCACCAAAAAGACTGAACAAAAGTATATTTGACGAATAAAATAGAAACACCCCAAAAGTGTGTGAGTGAGGACCGGTCCGTGTAAGCGTGATCACTCTTTTCCTTTCTCTCCCTCTCCTCGCACTCCGCTGAGGGTGTGTGTGTGAGGGTGTGTGTGTGAGGGTGTGTGTGTGTGTTGTGTGTGTGCATGGTGGAGAAAGCCCATAACACATTGAGATATATGTTTGATTGCAAATACATTGACATGCATATATCCTGCATTGCACAAGCTGAACATAATCTGCTGCAAACTAATATGTAAATAATGGAAAATGTTTAACAAGGTGGTTGCAGGAATCCTATAAGCAAGCTAAGATTAACTGCGTTGTAACGGCTCTGTATATGGTGCCTAAAGTTGGGAGAATTGTGACACAAAACAGACTGTTGGTGGGGTTGGACTTTTTGGATTGTGTGCGTAAGGTTGTTGGTGAAGAAGAATTTGGTGTTGGTACAGTAGTCTGAGAAAGGTTGAGCAAAGACGCAGTTAGAGTGTGTAAAAGTTGTGTGGTAGGGTGTGGCACAGACAGAGAGCAGGAGAAGTTGACAGTCCGAGAGTCAGACTGAGACTGAGAGAAGTAGGAAGTAAAAGGGGAAGTGAGGTCAATTCCGCTCTCACTCAGCCCCGAACGAGCCCCCACCTTTGCGTGAGCCAAAAACAAAGCTCTCTCTCTCCCCCACTACTACTCTCATTCAGTGAGGACCCCCCCCCCACACACATTTTTTTTTTGGGATCCAAAACATACAGCCCTCACTCGGTGAGGAGCCCCCACCTTCGTGAGAGCTCCCCCGCCCTTCTCTCCCCTAAAAAATTCTGAGATCTGGCGAGCCACTTTTTGTTTTTCTCTCTTCCTTCCCTCGGCAAGCTGAATATTAAAGCTATCGTATCTGCAGTACAAATATATAAACATTTTGTGCATTTTAAAACACTCATAGCATTATTTTACAAATATAAACATTGGGTAAACCTGTGACATAATTTAGCCAGAATTCGTTTCGGGGGACAAGGGACCATGGTTCTGCGAACTTCACATGGGATAAGGACACTCTGTGGCCACAAAAAGAAAAAGGTAGGAGATTTCCTAAAATTTGGTTGAGAGTTCTTTTCCCTGTGAGGTGGTGCGGACTACTGCTCTCTGTCCTCTTCGAATCAGTTGGTTGTGTCAGACCGCCTCACGCTGCTACGTGCGTGAGACTATGTGAAGATAGTAGACTGGGTGCAGAAGCACTTCGTCTCCTTCAGAGTGTGAGATTGCCTCACGCTGCTATAGGTGTGAGTTTGTCATATGTGGAGCTATAGGCTGGGTGCAGGAAAGCACTGGCCAGTAGCGTGGGGAGACAGCCGGGCCCGGGTTGTGATGTGTTTTCTAGGCTGAATGCCTGGTGACAAAAGGTTCTGGGTAATTTTTGGGATAACAAGGGGAGTGGCAGGCACGAGTGTGTCTGTCCATTGTTGAACTGTGAGTTTGGGCAATTTTTTGTTTTATGAGCTCTGACAGATACAGATTGGCTTGATGAGCAGGAGATAGAAAAAGAGGTCAATAAGGATAGGCCGAAAAGCCTATTCAGGGATCCCAATTGAACAAGCACGTCCCATATCTCCTGACCAAGTGTAGAAGAAACACACAAATTGGAAAAATCACACAAATTGGAAAAAATTGAAGAAATCAAAACAAGAATTAAAATAGAAGACTGCTGACTGACTCCAGTGACTGACTTGGACTTCAAACACGTGTGAAAGGGTATACCATTGTGTGATGAAAAAGTGAAGTGTGTGGGTTGATTGGATGTTTGTGTGTGTCTGTTTTGTTCTGTGTCAACTAAGTTCTCTGGCAGTGTTCACAGTCAGACTCTGCACCTGTGTGTGTATTATGCTGGTCAAAGATTGCTGTGTTTTCCTCACTTGTGTTTATTTCATAGTTGTGTATGTGAAGACTGTGCTCATTGCGGACATGTTATCAGTTGAGACATAGAAGGTTAAATACTCCTGGGAAAGAGGTTCTGTTCCTAGTACCATGATGAAAACTTCTGATATGAAGGTTTTAGCTTATGATAAATATTATGATGGTTTTTTGTTGTGAACACGTCTTATGCTCCTTAACAAATTTTCTGTGTTAAAGTTGCTGAAATAATGTTTGTAAAAGTATAAAAGATACAAAAAGGAAAAAAAAAAGAAATGAGGTACCACAAGTGCAAAACTTCTAAAACTTCAAATCTAAGAGTTGCTTCTATACATCTGCTGTTTTTTGCCAAAATACTGTGTTTTTTAAATATTATTGAAGCTGTTAATATCAATACTGACTATTGCTATAGAACTGCAGTTAAGGCAAAAGCTTTATACTGTGTATTTTTTGGGAATTTTACAAAACTGCTGGGGATCAAGTTTTAATGTGTGTGCTCATTTGAATAATAAATTTTACAAAAACCATGACCAGAAAGGGAAGATTAGTTTAACTCCAATTGCATTGGTAGGGTGTAAATATACTGAACACTTAAATGATATCCAAAAACTTACAAAGAAATTGGAACATTGAGTCAAGGGGTTTGAATTTTTATGACCTAGGGGAGGCACATCTGATGTGGCTGTGTGTGGGGATTTGGAGCAGCGAATCTAAGACCATAAACATAAAGATAAAAGTAAAACACGCAAAAACAAGAGATATGGAACTAAAAGTACCGGACATGTTCAACTCAGCACTTAGATTTTTGTCATTTTTATACTTTAGAGTCCAATTTTAGATTTTAAGTCATACTGGGACCTTTTTGAACCTGATTTCAACGTTCTTCTTGTGTATTTGCTCATTAAATGCATTACTTTTCTCTTTTTAAATCATGCTCTGATCTTTTGAACTAATAAATAAGAATAGAATAAGAACTAAAATTTTTCTATCTTAGGTTGCCTTTAAACTTATTATTTATTTATTATTATTATTATTTTATCTCTTTTGAATTTCCAAATGATTTAAGATCATTGCTATTTTTTTCCCATATGTTCTGAAAAGGAAATTGACAGTTTTAGTGAAATTTTGATCCTGTTTGACCCTGAGGTTAGACCTAAATCCAGATTATGGCCCTTGCTGTGGTTAAGTTTGACACCCCTGGCCTGGATTATGTTCGCTTAGAAATGCACTGATAGTATGTTTTCAATCTTAATAAATGGCACACAGGCTAGCTATGTGCCGTGGAAAACCACACACCTTGTTGGGCTGATTGCCAGACTACCACAAACTGAACAGGGGGCAGGGAGATGGATACGAGTTGTTGAGGATGAACTGTAGGAAAATGTTGACTTCACCAGACATGAAAGCACTCTTGGCTAAACTGCTGGGAACTTAGACGATGGAGGAGTTTCTGCGCAAGGCAAAACAAGGTTGAATGACGAATCCCATGAGAGATGGGAGTGAGTTCAATGTATATTGTGATGTGATGTGGAGGGTGCTGCCAGATGAAGAGCGGAGACCGAAAGAACAGGAAAAGAACATTCAGCGGAAGTTGAAACAGCCACCTCTAAGGGGGACACTGCAAAAGAGACCCAGCGATGCAGACTGTGCAGACGCTAACTGCGGTAAAACCTGTGACAGTAACCTGTTTAATCACCTGTTGTGAATGTTTATCCTCAGACAGAACCCTGCTCCATAGAGAGGATATATCCCGGCAGGGGGAGAGAGTGGAATTCTGACGGACGTGTGACGTCTATAGACCTGCTGGGGATGTGATCATAGCGGACATTTTTGACAACTGCCCAGACCAGGGACGTTTCTGGCTGGAGCTGTGGTGGGGGGCCCCAGCCCAGACAATGTGAAAGTGGTGGCTTACTACAGTGTGATTCTTGTGGATGATGGAAAAAGTTAATTGTTAGTTTTAATTTTAACCCTGTTGACCTTATAGACCAAAGAGCCCTGTGTAGAAGTAACATTCAAATTTGGTGCTCACCGCGAGGTGTGTAAGTAGACAGTTATGGTTTATAGTTTTAAGTAAATATCGTGACATTAGCATTGTAACATTCCTGTTCTGTTAGTTTAATACTGATAAATCTAAATGCAGCTGTGCTGAATCCGCATACACTCCTCACAGATGTGCCACCTAATGTAAAAGTAATAGGAAGCTATCAAAGGTCAATAAGGCCACAGAAAATGGTTTAGAGTCAAATAACTAGTTTTTGTACCAGTAGTATTAACAAACAAACTTAGGATCTGACTTTCACAGTGATTCACACTGTGCAAGGGGGGAGATGATGAGACAGTTAAAACGACATTTTTAGAATATGCTGACAATAGTTGATAAACTTTTGGGTCATTGTGATATGTGTTTTGTTAGATGAATTGAAGAGAACAATAAAACAGTAGCGGGACACTGTTCCAGTTCCAGAGAGACGTTTTTAGACATCTAGGCAATGTGGACATGATTAAAACTGCCAAGGGATATGTTACATGTTTGTAATGATGACGGGTTCAGTCGATGGATAGAAGCAACACCATCAAAAGATCTTGGAGTCAAAATAAATCTGTCATTGCATGATTTGGTACATCATTTTGGGGAAGAAAGTTAATCTCTCAAGTAAATATCTGATCAGAGAATTTGCACTAACACTAACCTATAGGAAGAAGCTTTGCTACTTGTGCTTATGAGTTTTCACAATCAAAAGCACTGAGATAAATCTGTCACTGCATGATTGACTAACTTACAAAGCTATGCTTTACTGCGGCTAAATAATTAAGTTTTTCGCTTGAGCAGCTGAAAATTAGTGAAAGACTATATGAACCAGCTAACTACGATGCAAAGATCTATCGATTAGCAGGAGGAGTGCCAAAATCTGATCCCAGTCAAGAGGGGGAGGCCAGTCGAGCCAGAGCACCAGGTGTACATCACCGTCCTTTGAGGAGGGTGGCAAAAAGAACGAGGAGAAGACCTGAACACTTTGGTCCTGGTGAACTCTACTTCAGTGCAGGAAGTGGCACGAACCACGACGGGAAGGACCGTACACGGTGGTGCGAGCTACTCCCACAGCAGTCCAGGTCGAAGGGAGCGGGACGTGGTATCACCTGTCGCGCTGCACGAAGGTTCCAGGCAAAACCAAGGGCGGTATTGAGTTGAAAAACAAAGATGAAAAAACATGACATTGTGGTGTGTGCTGGTGGTAATGAACTCTCTTCTATGGATGCCTGTAGAAGCAGTGGAGCTAGAGACTCAAAGGGGAAAAAAGAGCACCCCGGGGACCAGAGCCACGCCAGAGACCAACCCGCACGACAGAGGAGACAGAGCATCTGAATCAGATGAGTATGATGCAACCACACAGACACCAATCCATGACATGCTAAACTCTGAGCCAGCACTCTCAGCTGAGCTCAAACACATAAACATTCCGTACCAAGTGGTGTATGGACGAACACGGGGTAAAAGAGCTATACACAAAATGTGGCGGTGGCGTGCTAGCATGGACATACCCGATAGCATGCGAAACAGAAGCATAACATACGGGGTAATGGTCATGTCACGAGAGTATGTGCGAACCCAATGTGTGGTGTTCGGTGTAGGCTTCTGTATGGGTCGGGATTTCATCATGGGTATTTAGAAATGTGCGTAGACTGTAAATTTCGCCAGACATGTGAAGAATTCGCCACCACAACGTCACAAGATGAGCCCCCTACAAACTACAAAGTAGACGAAACGGATAATTACGAGTGTTTTGCCAGTGGAGGGTTTATGAATAAACCAGGGGGAGGAGTCCAGGTGGGAAACACAACTGTTAATTGTAAAATTACGTGGGTATTGTCATGGTTTCCTGAAGCTAATATGAGCGAACCGTTTATAACTAGACCTGTTTGGTTTGAAAATCCAGAGCAAACGTTAGATCAAACATGTGAAAACATAACTATGACCAGACCGAGTATGCATTTTTTCGCAAGGCAAACTGTTGCAGTAGCTGACAGTTACTGGATGTGTGGAGACAACATTGTGCGAAACACACTTCCACCAAAATGGATTGGACTCTGTACATTAGTGCGAATGAAAGTGTCAGTTGTCGTGTTGTATGACGGCGTCGAGGAGATCCTTAAAATCCAGGGAGAAACAGCCAAATTGCACCGCCACAAAAGGCAGATTGACGAAAAGGTGTACATCAATAGTATAGGAGTGCCAATAGGAATTCCAGAGGAGTTTAAAGCTCAGGATGAGATCAGAGCAGGTCTAGAGTCGATTCTCCCCTGGATCACCACTAATAAAAATGTCCAATGGATAAATTACATTTATTACAACCAACAGAGGTTTGTTAATGCGACATCTGAAATCCTGAGCGCTCTCGGTATTCAATTACACGCAGCAAGTGTAATGGCCCAACAAAATAGACAGGCTTTGAATTGGCTGGCAGCGGATAGGGGAGGAGTATGTCACATGTTCGGGAAACATTGTTGTACCTTTATTCCAAATAACACAGCCCCTGATGGTATATTTTCTGTGGCAATGGGGAAGCTTACAGAACTCAGAGTTGAGCTCAGGGAGAGTGCGGGCAAGGGGGGACTGTCATGGGATTGGTTTGACCAAATTTTAGGAAAATGGGGAGCCGTTTGGGCTAAGATAGGACTCAGTGCACTAGCAGTCCTAATTTTAATTTCCTTTTTGATATGTTGCATCATCCCCATCCTGAGGAGGCAGTGTCTGCAGGCTCTGGAAAAACAGATGACTGTGGTGACTGGTCTCCAAAGAGCTCAAATGTTGAACTTGCTGACGCCGTCCCAAATGGCACAACTCTGCTTGGACGACAGCAGGGCAGGAAACGGGGACTATCCGGACTTATACCCAAACCCTGCCTGTGTGGGTGACTCTGATGAGGACGAACAGAGTCAAGTGTAAGGTAAACAAGAAGCAGAGGTGCAGCAGCAGCGAGCAAGCAAAAGGAAAAGCAAATGGGACGGCGGAGCAAATGGACTATCATATCAATACACACATATTCTGTTGTTATCCATGTGTATTCTGCATACTCACATTATTTACACATACTCATTCCAGGTATATGGAAACAGGTAAAGGAAATGGCTAATCATTTTTTGAGCAAAATAAAACATGTGGTTGATTGTCATGTAGAGTGGGTCAGTGGAAAGCTGTTAGATTTAGAAGGTTCACGGTGAAGGTCGCCAGCGGGAGGGGCCGTAGGGGAATTTCCTGCTCAAAGCAGCCAGCAGGTTTTCGCCCCTGCCAGATGTGAACCAAGTCACAAGTGATTTAAGTGTTGTGTTTATGAAAATGTAACATTCGTGATAACAAGCATGAGTTGGATTGGTTTGAAAACATACATATGCATCTGTAATCAATCTAGTAGTATCATATCACATAACGTTGTCATAACTCATTCATGTAACGTAACTAAGGCTAAGACAAGATAAGTGTGAATCTCCAACGGCGTCATTGAACTCGTTTAATCTTGAAAAGATTCAAAGGGGGGATATGTGGGGGAAAATAACAGATATGGTTGGATGTTTTGGAGGTTACTATGAGGCAAGAAAACAGGATATGGTGGGAGAGGTCAGGTTGGGATAAACTTTATCAGGTCATGGTGAACTGTGTTGCAATAACAGGAATTTGGCTTCAGAGATAGTGGCAAGGGAGAAGGCTTGTAGGGAGCTCTCCCAGGGGAAAGTGATATACACGCGAAGGTAGCTTCGCACGCACATTTGGCAAAAGTTGAGATCAGTGACGTCAATGGAGTACTATAAGAGATCTGTGGTTTTTCTGTTCTGGGGTCTGTCTGTTCGATTGTTCATGAGCTGTGTTTGATGCTGTGACCAGAATAAAATCCCGCGAGAGGCTGCCAGCTTGATTCTGTCTTCGTGTAGTTCATTCCTGCATTTTTGCACCGAGGTCAATCAATCAATCAATCAAATTTTATTTATATAGCACTTTACAATATCCCAAATGGTACCCAAAGTGCTTTACATAAAAGCAATAAAATAACACAAGAAAAAATACCATTATAAAATAATACAATAGAATAGAATAATACAAGAACTATGAAATAATAAAAATGAATATGAGAATAAAATAATACAATAAAATAGTATGTAGAAGTGCTAAAAACCTATAAGTACAGGACTACCTAGTCAGAGTTAAAAGCAAGTCTAAAAAGGTGCGTCTTTAACTTTGATTTAAATAAACTGAGGTCAGTGGTGGTGCGTACATCTAGCGGCAGTCTGTTCCACAGCCTAGGAGCTGCAACAGCAAAAGAACGATCACCCCACTGTTTGAGTTTTGACCTCGGGACCTCCAACAGGCGCTGACCGGAGGAACGGAGGGCCCTGCCATGATCGCGAACAGTTAAAATCTCTGACAGGTAGGAGGGGGCCAGGCCATTTATGGCATAAAAAGTAAATAATAAAAGTTTAAAGTCAATTCTAAAACAAACTGGAAGCCAGTGTAGCGAAGACAGCACAGGGGTGATGTGTTCACGCCTAGACGTGCCCGTTAAAAATCGTGCAGCAGCGTTCTGTACAAGCTGGAGACGGGAGATTAAAGACTGGCTGAGGCCAACATAAAGGGCATTACAATAGTCCAGTCTGGAACTGATGAAGGCATGGATTGCCTTCTCGAGGTCCTGCCGACTTAAAAAGGACTTCACTTTGGCCAGGAGACGCAGTTGAAAAAAGCTGGTACTGACGACAGATCTAATCTGTTTATCGAACTTAAGTCCACTGTCAAATGTTACCCCAAGATTCTTTACATGTGGCTTGAAAAAAGGTGCCAGATTTCCAGAGTCTGTAATCGAAACGTTTGATATCGATGGCGTGCCAAATAAAATACACTCAGTTTTGCTGTCATTTAGGTGCAAAAAGTTCAGAGCCAACCACTGTTTTACTTCAGTAATACAGTCCAGTAAGTCAGAAAGTGCACTGTTCTCGTTGGGTCGCATGGGCAAATATAACTGTAAGTCATCAGCATACGAATGAAAAGACAGATTGTATTTTCTTATAATTGATCCCAGGGGTAGTAAATACAAAGAGAACAGAATAGGGCCAAGAATAGAGCCCTGTGGCACCCCACAAGAGAGAGGCGCCTGTGAGGAGCAGAGGTCACCAATCATCACGGAAAAACTCCTATCTGCCAGGTACGACTTAAACCATTTGAGAGCGGTGCCACGGATGCCTACATACTGCTCAAGGCGAGATACAAGGATTGCATGATCGACTGTATCAAAAGCCGCTGTGAGGTCCAGCAGGACCAGCACAGCGGGGTTTCCAGCATCCACGGACAGGGCAATATCATTATGTACCTTTAACAGTGCTGACTCAGTGCTATGTCGAGACCTGAAACCAGACTGAAATTTATCAAGAACAGAATTTACCTCTAAAAATGCATGCAATTGAAAGGAGACAACTTTTTCCAAAACCTTAGAAAGAAATGGCAGGTGGGAGACAGGCCTAAAATTGGACAGCACAGTGGGGTCAAGATGCGTTTTTTTGAGGAGGGGCCTAACCACAGCATGTTTGAAAGCAGCTGGGACAGACCCTGAGCTAAGACAGGTGTTGATAAAAAACAGCAAGCTTGATCCAACAGAACTAAATACCTCCTTTAGAAACTTGGCTGGAATAATGTCTAAGGGACAGTTAGTGGGTTTTAAGCCACTAACCACCTTAGTGAGAGACGACAGAGAAATTGTTTCGAAGTTCTCAAAAACAGCAGATAGTGCAGGAGGAGCACACACATCATTGGGGGACGTTAACATATAACTGATATTCTGCCTGACTGATGCCACTTTGTCTATGAAGAAAGAGGCAAACTCTTCACAGGTGGAGGAGGAGGCATCAGACAGGACAGTAGAGCATGGGTTAATAACAGAGTCAATCGTGCTAAATAGTACTCTCGGATGATTAGAGCTGTTGGCTATAACAGAGGACAAATATTTGGACTTTGCCTCCTTCACAGCTCTCTGATAAGCAGCCAAACTGTCCCTTAACCAACCCAGCGAGACATGCAGTTTGTCCTTTTTCCACCGCCGCTCAGCCTGTCTGCATTGTTGTCTGAGCAGACGGGTGTGGTCGTTTAACCAGGGATCAGCCTTGGTTTTGGTGATTTTTTGCCGAAAAGGGGCAACAGAATCCAGAATTTCAGAGCATGTACAGTGAAATGTGGAGAGCAGGGTGTCCGGACAGAGGGAGGGGACCAGCCCACTGTCAGCATGCATCTGAGAGTTCCCAAAGGCGATAGCAAACTCTCTGGCCGTTGATGGAGTGAAGATACGGCGTCTACAGGCTGGGGAAATGGGTTTGTTGGGAGGTGGGGGGGCAACAACATCAAAAACAATCGGAAGATGATCCGAGATAGCAGTGTCGACTATTTCTCATCTTCTAAACACCTCCCTCCAGGCAGAGTAACACACTTTATGCTTCTCTGGGTTTCAGCTCATTGCTCGCTGACTTTCTTATCATGGGGAGAACGCATGATGATTCAGTATCCAGTCGCAGGAAAGGCAAAAGCCCCAAACGCCGCCCACCAGTCAGACCCTCGACCTCCGGTGCATCATCCCGCGCTGCCAAGAAAAAGACTAGAGAGTCAGGTGAGAGGGAGTGAGGTAGAAGAGCTTAAATCTGAGTTATGATGGTGTTATGGTCACAGATAAGGCTGCAACAACGAATCGATTAAGTCGATTCGTCGTGACGAAAAAATTCTTTGCCAACTAATTCTGTGATCGATTCGTCGGGTCTTTATATATGTCCATGGACACCGGCGTGTAAACATCAGCAGGACGCACAGAAAAGAAACAGCCATGGCCGAGGCAGCGGCTGAGAAAAACATGGACACAACCCAACCCAAATCCCGACCTAAAACATCAGTGGTGTGGGAAATCTTTCAAGTCTCACGCATTCAGCGTGTGACACACGCATTCCCACCCGTTCACACGCCACACATTATTTTTCTCACGCATTTAAATGAACATGGTGATGTCCACCAAGTTGCACCTTTTTAACTATGGAACAGGTGGAAATCAACCGAGTTTCTCTGGGAGTTCAGAAGTTGCGTGCCACGCGTAAGCCAATCAAATAAAGTATATCTACTGAACAGCCAATCAAAAAGCAGCATTGCTGTATCCGGGTAGATTTTGATATCTTGCGGTTTGACTACAGAAGAAGACAGACACTCGCCGAAATAGAGCAGGTTTTTATCAGGATGAGAAAGACCCGATGATTACAGTAAGTCAGTAACCTACACATGCAGAGACCTCAACACCTCATGGCAGATAAACTCATATGATAAACTAAAGCCCTATGCTATTGCTATTAACAGCTGCATTGATGAATTTAGCCTCTGTAGAGCCATTTCCAGCCATTTCCCCTCCACAAAAGCAGCATTTCTCATATATTCTTTTTAAAGTTCTGATACTCATGACAGTGTAATGCTGATGTACCAAAGTATTAAGTATCTCCATGTTTGTGAAACCTATACTAAAATACAATTCATCTAAATACTCCTCAGTGCTGATTTTAGCAACTCTCCTCCATAACAGGTAACTTTACTACTTTATTCTTAAAGTCATTAATGACTTTATTTTCCTAAATAATAACTTTAATCTCAAAGATTTTAAAATGTTTTTTTTCTTTCTTAATGTGGCCCTCATACTCCATTGTATTTATTAGATTATTATACTAATAATTATCTTCAATCACTCTTCGACAGAACCAAAAAAAAAGTTTCTGTGTTTATCCGATTAATCGATTAGTTATTAAAATAGTTGACAGATTAATGCAGCCCTAGTCACAGATGTTAGCAACTTTTTCAAATATAATTATGCTTTAAACTCATTCTGTTTCTCATTGATCTGAACACGCTTAAGAACACAAAACTCTCTGAACCAGCACACACTGCAGGATTTTTGAAGCTGCTTAAATAATATAAGGTAGAAATGTGTGTCCCAGTCTGTCCCCATGTTTATCATTTTTTTGATGTAATTGTCATTGTCTCTGTACCCTCTCTGCCTATTTAGCTCCTGTCTCTCCAAGGAAGAAGCGTTTTCGGCCGGGTACCAGGGCTCTGATGGAGATCAGGAAATATCAGAAGAGTACAGACCTGCTGCTCAGGAAAGCGGCGTTTGGTCGTCTGGTGAGTCAGTCTGCAGACAGGAAGGGGATGGTGATGGAGCTGTATGTCTGTCACCTCGTCCTCTCCTCAGGTAGGACAGAGGTTCAGGTTTAGAGTTTAACTCTTGTTTCCTGTTCCCGGTCTGCAGGTTCGTGAAGTGTGTCAGAGTTACTTCAGAGAATATCTGAGGTGGCAAGTGTACGCTCTGCTCGCCCTGCAGGAGGTGAGTGACAGCATGATCACATGGCCACAGTCTGAGCTGTGTTTGATGCCAAACTAAAAATATGAGAGGTCACTCACGACGCATAAAAAATAAACTAATGAAACTAAAGTAGAGGAACAAGAGATTGGTTTAATAAAAGACGGTAAAGCTGCATAAGTGCAGGTGTATAAAAATATGAAAGCGTAAAACCCAGTTTACTGGGTCATTTAATCTTTCATAGAAATGTTTTATTAATAAAGAGTTTGACCTTTTGACTGAAATACTTCTCCTCCCCCTTGCAGGCTGCAGAGGCATTTCTTGTCAGGCTGTTCTCAGACGCCAACCTGTGTTCCATTCACGCCAAACGAGTCACCCTGTTCCCCAGAGACATCCAGCTGGCCCTAAGGATCAGAGGGGTGAATAACCTGTAAATACATGTCCATGAAATCCATGATAAATGACACCATGGAGACTTTAATGTTGTTACTCGGTTTTATGTGCTTTAGCTTCACTTTAGCCTGAGCTGGACTGTATATAACCTGTTGGTCAGCTTAATTTAAATCTGGGGAAGGGTTTTACCGATAAACAGACCTGCTTGGGTCTCTGTTTTGTTCCGTGTTGATCAGTTAGAGTTTTCAATTATTGATTGAACAAATGTGTGTTAATATGACTTTCAATCCTGTAAACTTATTTTGTTAATAAACCAGTTTTTTTTTCCTGTGTTTTTGAGCAGGATCACGTCTGTTTTGTGTTGTATCTGGCACCCCCTGTGGACAACAGTGACTCATCTTCATGTTGATTTTAAACTCCTGTGTTCATATGAATTTTAATTCTGCTGTCACTCTTCACAGGTCTTAAAACAGCATCTGGTAATGCTAATTATCTTTCAGTTTAACACCCGCTATGTGGTTTTTCAAATAACCACTCTGACGAACAGAAGATGAAATGGCAAACTAGAAAAATTGCATTTCCTTGCAGAAAATGCGTGGAAATGCTGAGTGCTGAAAGCTGAAAAAGCAATGCAAAACTGCAAAAAAAAAAAAAAATGGAGGAAGGAAGGTTTAAATGTAAAAATTGGTTAAAGTTGGATGAAAGTGAAAATTGTTGAAGTACAAATAGTATGAATGTCTTTCATAAATTAAAATTGCATTCATGTTGAATAAACTGTCTGAAATTGCAAAAAAAAAAAATTGATAAGGAAGAAAATTACCTTAAAACAGAAAAGTGAGAAATGGCATAAGTTTAAGTTGTAGTACTAGAAGTAGTATGATAGTAAGTAGTTGTAGTAGTGATATTAGTAGGCATGTAAGCAGTAGAAGTAGTTTTAGAATAGAAGAAGTAGAAGTCAAAGCAGTAGAGCTCATGGTAGAAGTAATAGTGGCAGTGAAAGTAAGAGAAAGGCATTAACTGACCTACTGTTGAATGAGAAGCTGCCTAACTGCAGTGAATTTAGGACCTCTGAACATCTTCACATAGCGTGATTTCCTTAAATCCCAGAATGAAAATAAGAACATCGTACGAATCCTCCGCCCTCCATGAACACAATGACGTGTTTTTCATGTCTGTACTCTAAAAAATGTGGCCACAAGAGCGAGTGAAACAGGTCTGAGCCTGAGTGATCAGGATTTTCTTGGAGAAAAATTACATTAGGGCCAATGCCAGGGTTCTTTGCCATTTTTGGACAGTTGGTCACCTGCTGGCCAAGGGGTACAATTTAATGATTTGAAACCTCTTTTGTGAGAAGCAGGACACATATACCTCCATTTTGATGTATTCTTCATGGCTGTGGAGTGAAATTTGTGGGCATGGGAGCGATATATTCGTGCTAGGTTTCGTCGATTAAAGAGCACTCTGCACTCTAGCAACGACATCATCACTCTAGCTCTTCCAAAACACACCCATTAAAAAGCCTGAAATTTGCTGAAAACCATGAGTTGCTTAAAGCTAAATTGTGGAAAAACTGTAAAAGATATCAAAAAAGTGAATACAACAATCATAGTTATAAGGCTCAGAAGGTGGAAGAATAAAAGGAAGAATTTGAAGATTTCCCCATTGACTTCAATGTTAAAATTTTGGCACAAAAAGTTAAAAAAGAACAAAAAGTATAAAGGGTAGAAAAAGAAATAGACGCAATAATGTCCTGAAGGAGTGGAATAGTTTAAAGTTTGAACGGTTGAAATAGCACAAAGTTTGAAGGAGGAGAAAAGGGCCATAAATTGGCGGAATTATATTAATAATAATAATCATAATAATAATAATAATAAGTTTAATAAAGAACAGGATAACTTAATAATAATAATAATAATAAAGAAAAATGGCTGACAGGAATAATAAGTGGAAATGCTTAATCAGCATTTCCACTTAATAAAGATATGAATAACATATAGTGGGAATGCTTCGCAATCCCACTCAATAAGTTTAATAATAAAGAAAATGGCCGCCAGGAATAGCATTAAATGGAAATGCTTAATCAGCATTTCTACTTAATAATAAAGAAAATGGCCAACAGGAAGAAAATAAGTCTAAATGCTTAATCAGCATTTCCACTTAATAAGCACAGTAAACCTAGACAGCCTCCTTTTAGTGATCAGAAAGTTTTCCATTTAAAGACACTGTCCCTGAAGGTGCGAGCACAGTTGGCTTAATATGATTAAATGTATTGTGATTTTTTTTTTTCTCTCTTACTGTTTCCTGATGGCGTTTAGATCCAGAGGATCTGAGGCTAAGAGTTGGCTCATAAGGTAATAAAAGCTCTGAAATGTAGCTTGGAGCAAGTCCTTTGAGTGCTTTAAAAGTAATCAATAAAATCTTGAAACCAATTCTGAAACTGACAGGAAGCAAGTGAAGGGAGGCTAAGATAGGAGTGATGTGATGCCATCAACTAAAACCAGTTAAAAGCCTAGCTGCTGCATTTTGAACTAGTTGGAGGTGGGAGAGTGATTTCTTATTTACATCAGGGAGGAGAGAGTCCAGCCTTAAGAAAATTAAAGCGTAGAAGATCTGATGGGGTGAGTATTTGTTTAATATTTGAAATTGAACGCAGGCGAAAGAAACAGGACTGGACAATCTTATTAGTATGGGTGGAGAAGGCAAGGACTGAATCATAAGTCACTAAAAATGTCGGACCCCAAGGTCAACCTAACTAACACAGATCTCATCGGTACTCCATCAAATCAAGCAACCCGATGCAGTGCAAGGATCGTGATGAGACTCGAAACTCCTGATCATAAAATGTTGGATATACTAAGAGCCCATGGAATCATGGTGCTCCTGGACAAAAACGCACCAGGAAAGTTAACCACTCCGACCCCCTGCCAAATGCAAGTACGGTCTAGCCCACACATCATCCGATGGTCACACTGACCCCTCACTGTAACCTGAAAATACAGTTGCTACCACTCTTCAGGCTCTGGTAAACTCCGTTCAACAGATCAACAACCGCTTGCAATTCCTGGAAAACACCGCAGCTTCCTCAGCAGCAACACCAGCCTCTCAACTTCTTCCGAATCGAACCCAAGCCTCAACTTCCGCACTGCATGTATCTACTGCCTCCTCAATCACAACCCCTATGCCCCTGCACACCCTGGCATCTGCGCTGGCAGCTCCTCCTCTAGGTAGGCCTTAAGTCCCTTTCAACATTTCTACCCGTCTAAGATAAAAAATTCTTTTAGGGCAAAGATATCAATTTCATATCGCTTTTTCAGTCAGGATCACTTTAGTCAAAATTAATTATTTATTACAAGCAAACATTTTTTACATCGGCGATATGGCTCTGTTCTGAGGGTTCCCTGCCCTTCCGTGCGCTTGCATTGAATGCCACAGGTATAAGAGGGGAGAGCTCCTCCCCTCCCTTTCATGGGAGGGGAAAAGCCAAGGCAGAGAAAGCAGCTGCAAATAAATACGATTACGATCAATAAATTAAAATCCCCCCACAGAACAGAGCAAGCATCACTGACAATACATATGACAATGGTAAGATCAGACACAACATAAACAGGAGGAGTTGGGGTGGAGGTGGGTTGCAGAGTGGTTGCAGCAGGCAGAGTAGGCAGGAGAAGCAGTTTAAATAGGGTGACATTTTGATAATAGCCAATAGGATGTGTAGAGGGCGATTACCTGAGCTGTCAGCTGACTGAGGGCTGGCTTAAGATCAGCTGACTGTAGCCTTTAGCTTGATTCCGTGACCTGCCTGAATTACAGCTATGCGTCATTTCAGTCAGGATCACTTTAGTCAAAATAAATTATTTATTACAAGCAAACATTTTTACATTGGCGGTATGCTCTGTTCTGAGGGTTCCCTGCCATTCAAGGCGCTTGCATGGAATGCCACGGCTATAAGAGGGGAGAGCTCCTCCCCTCCCTTTCATGTGCATACATGAAAAGCCAAGGCAGAGAAAGCAGCAGCAAATAAATATGATTAAGATAAATTAATAAAATACCACAAAACAACCATACAATGCCACGGCTATAAGAGAGGAGAGCTCCCCCCCCTCCCTTTCATGTGCATACATGAAAAGCCAAGGCAGAGAAAGCAGCAGCGAATAAATACGATTAAGATAGACAAATTAAAATCCCCCAAAACAACCACACAAGAGGCGACCCTCCCGAGGCAGGGAAAGCAGCAGCAAAAAAATCAAAAGCTCACCAGAAAAACCACACCAGGCAACCCTCCCCAGCTTTTATGAGCTACATGAAAGAACCTACAGAGGAGGGAGAGCAGCAGTCAGCAGCAAGAAACTACGAAGCAACCTACCCACCTCCAAAGCTTGTGTAGTATAGGTTACGCTCAAACATGATCGTGGAACAGGATTAATTTCATCCATACACATATTTATAATTGGTAATATGCTTAAGAATACAATAGATATGGGACAGAATTATGGCGCAGCAGCATTTTTCAAAGCACTCATAGCTAATTGAGCATTAGCATTTCTTGAGCCTCGGGCCTGAGGTATCATTCATAGGCTGATGAGGACCATTGACCCGTAGCCTTGAGCATTGAGATGGGGACAATGGAGGATGCCGTTGCAGCTGCATCTATGCGTAGAGTCGTGCTCGGGTGGGAGCCAGCAGAATTGGCAGAGCAGGCAGAGGTGAGCAGAAACCATGATCTAGATATCGGTTTCCCTTCTTTGGTGGCAAAGAGAGGCTCTTGCTAATTGGCCAGTGGCTGGCCTCTCAGGTAGCGGGACATAGAGGACAAAGGACAAAGTCAGAGAAATACATACGAATAGATGGGTTTTCAAGCAGGCTGGTGGTGGATGGGTTCAGACAGCGCAGATGGAACTGAATACCTGCTACAAGTCCTTTAATATTTGCGAGATTTAAAACAGTGGACTATTATTGCACATACAATGGATATATTTACAGCATTGGAGCTACAGAGAAGGTGGTACAAAAGAGGTAAATTGAGACCATGCAGAATCATATTAATTTAAATGCTGATTTTGCTTAACCAGCT